GTCGCTTTGGATGCGCAGCGCGGTTTTCATTGTGGTTTTGCGCCCCCGAGAATTTTCAGAAGTGCGCCTGGCGACCTGCAAATTTGCTCAACTAGCTGCCATGTCGCCGCGACTTCTGGCGATGCCACCGCCCTCCAACATGCGCGCGCGCACGTGCGAGCCCACGGTTGTAGGTTAGCGCGCGCCGGCACGCACATCGCGTTTGCTTGTCTACTCCTCCGCTCATCATGCTGTTGCGCGCTGTAGTGTCGCATGGGGCTCGCGCGTGGTTGCTCGACCTTCGATGTGTTATTGAACGCAAGGGCGCCTTTGATGTCGCTTTGGCAGTGCCACTTGCTCCAAGGTGTTTATTCGATTATCACCGCTGCCGCTGTCATTGGCGCGGCGGTTCCTGATCGCAACGTCGCGATTGGTAGGCAATTCGGCCCGCGCCCTTTCGCGCCAAACGCTGTTATCGTGGTCCTAATCGGGGCATCAGTTTGCAGCAAGGAGCATCGCGCGGGCGCTCGCGTTCTCGCGTTCGGTCAGCCGCGATTCGCCCAGCGCTGTACCGATCATTTGGCGTTTAAGCGTTTATTTTTTGAATTGCGTTTTGTCGTCAGAAGCTTCGCCAGTATAGTGACATTACTGACTGGTGTCATTTCTCTTCGCTACCGCCGTCTGGCGCAGAGTGGCAATTGCATGCCGCTCGCCATTGCGACACTCAGTGGCGACAGGGACGGCGCCATCGCAGCAGCGACAATGGATGCGGACGGGAACGCGGTAGCCATGGCGAGCGGTCTTCGTCGACACAGCGATTGCGCTAGTCTGCTTGGCGTTTCATTGCGGCCGGCCCCGATGCGGGCGATGGGGAATCATGGTCAATTTCTGGTCCATGGGAAAGTTGCGGGCAGAGAGCATTGCGCAGCGGTCGAGGTTTCCGAGCGCGGCGGCGGCGTGGTGCACCCAGAGGGATTATCTTGGCACGTGCCTTTAGGTGGTCTCGACGATTGCTTGCGCATTCTGCTTGACTTCGGCGCCGAGGCGGCGTTTTGCTTTCAGCAGCGGGCATTCATCAATCCCTATCGGGGACATCGCTGCATGCGACGCCATGAATATGGCAGCCGGGGCCGGCGTCGGGGAGGAGGCCATTGACGTTGCGAACGCCGACGAGGAGCTCAACGAGGACTTGGATGACGCTTCATGCGCGCGCATCCATGCGAATCTCTTGCAGTTGCTATGTGATGAGGTTACGGAGTTCGAGAAAACCGTGAAACCGTTTTCTCGCACTGGCGCCGCGAAGGAAGGCAATGGGAGCATTGCTAGATGTTTGCTTTGCCCATTCAAAGAGTATGCTGTTTCGTCTGCGAATGTTAAGAGAGATCTCCTTGCGCACATCGCGAATCACCACGGCTGGCACAGGAAACCTGAGAATGGTCGAGATCGGAAAATGGGATGCGGAAGATACGTTGCTTCTGGCACTTAGCAGCGGCAAATCATTCAGGCGCTGTTTGACGACGATATGTTATCCAAGCACCAGGCGAATAATCTGTTGCAGCGCAGCGCCGATCTCATGCGGCGGACGGTGGACCCGCCGCTGCGGTGTCTTGGCGTTGGCAAGCACATCCGGCTCCTTCTGGATAACGACGGCTCCGGTTCGTGGACTTCCAATTTCTCGCCAAAGACGGCGCGCTTCAAGCCAGGCGCGTCGGAAGCACGCACTGCACGAAGGAGTTCGCCGAGCTCGCGTTCCGCGAATCTATCCTGTATGAGGGTCGCGTTCGCCCGACGAGAGCGAGGATCTTGACGCGCTTCAAGAAAGCCGGCTTTTGTATCACTCACCTTCTACCCGGCGATGTCGTTGCATGGATGCCCCTGATGGAAGATGTTTTCTCGTCTCCGTTCGTGGGTGAGTTGCGAACCTCTCTCATGAGCGAACTGATGGATAAGATTGAGTTCGAGCATATATCGGTGGATGCGACTCTGCGCGCTGCCGCGCGCGTGAAAGGCCAGGCGCGCTGCAGAGAGCCGGCCGAGATTCGGGCGGCTGCGCCGGTTCCAGACGGAGTTGCAAAGAGACGCATTATGACAGTGAAAGATTGCACTGCAGCCGCCATCGGCATGTGCCCCGTGGCCAGCGAGGCAGCATCCGTCGTGAAGGCTGCTCTCCAAGAGCGTCTGCCCGCGCGAGCTCTCCAGCAGCGCGCGCCAGTTGCAACGGACGACACGCCGGTGCAATTATTTTCTGAGCTGCCGCAAATTATGCCTCAGCTCAAAGTTTTGCGCCTAGACCCTGTTCATCTCGCAATCATGTATAACCGAGCGCACTGGCGGAAACATTCTCCCGGCCAATCCGCATTGCGAATCACTTTGAACAAATTCAGCAAGGTGAACGCAGGTTTGTGCGGCGACGCGCGGAGTTCGTCCAATGCAGGCCACGAAGCGAAATCGCTGTCTGCTTCGGAGAGCAGCGCGCAGTCACTGATAGCCCCTGGTTCAATGCAGAGGCGCCGAGCGCAGAGGATTCTTGCAGGTCTTGACGCCAATCAGCCGTTCTTGAAAATAGTTGATTTCAGCGAGGCGTTGGCTGCGTTGACGTGTGTTTTCTGGGGAGAAGTCGACAGGCGCACTCCCGCGGCGCCAGGCAACAAGCTGGCCGATGTGATAGCGAATGCTGCGCAGTGCAGTCGGTGTCAATATGTGTTCAATAACTCGCGCATGCGGCACTCATTGCCGCGCCGCGCGCTGTCGTTGCTCGGTTCGGGCGCGAGCCCGAAAGAAGCGCTGCGCAGCGAAATTGATGGGCGGTTTAGAAAACCAGTCTGAGTTGCATGCGCAGACTCTGGAGCTTCAGCTCAGCGCCAATGTAATCGGCAAGCGCATGATGCATAATTATGCGATGTATGCCCCTGCTCTGCGCCAGCTATCTTCGCAGACGGTTGCGGCTAGCGTGGTTTGCTCAGTTGCAATGCCTGCCGGTGCGTGGGCGAATCGCTGCTCTTCTCAGGCGCAGGGGCAGGGCGCGCCGAAAAAGGCAGAGCTCCCAGTGGCGCTGCAGCGCAAAGCCGCGCAGCCCCTGGCGAGCAAATGGACGGCGGACCACAGGCGCGCGGTTGTCGCGAGGAAGCCAGCCGGAAAGAAGCCGCCACATCATGCGATAAAGCGGCCTGGCGCCGCGAAGCAGCTCAAGCGCGCGCCGTTTTCTCTCATTCGGAAGCGCAGCAAGGGCGATGAGATCCGCCCGCCCCTTCATGCAGGCGTTGCTTGGCGCCTTATTGCCGTGTGCTTGGTGACTGCAACTTCTTTGCATTGATTTCCCGCGCGCGTTGCCTGCTGCGGGCCATTTTCGTTTTGCAAGTATGTCTGCAGCTGCAACTTCATTACACCGCCAAGAACTATCTCGCAACTGCCTTGACTCGCGCATTTGCGTTGCAATGCGAACAAGAAAGCTTGCCATCGCACTGGAAATATTTGCTGCAATCATCATGTGGACTACAGGAATGTATCGATGAAACATACGTCAACCAACGGCCAGGGCGCAGTATCTGATCAAGCAACATGCAGTTTATTTATGTTAGCACAGGTCGCACATATTCACACAATGCAAATAGGTATAAAAATGTGAGCAGCATGCTTTAAGCAATCATGCGTTTTATAACACTGCTAATTTGAAGAGATGCGAAACCTATGTACTCAACCATTGCAAACTTATGGTTTCTAGTATGTAAATATTTCGAATAGTTGATTCAAAAATTTTTAAAATGATTCTCAGCGACCATCCGACGAAAGGCGGCGCCTAGTTTTTAATTGTTCAACTTATTTGAACGATTTAGTGTCAAAAATGCTTTAATTTTTAAGCATTAAAATAGTTGAAATATTTCGCGCGTTCGATTCTTTAAGTTGTTCGAACATTGAAAAATTTGGAAATTCCAATAATCTGAAAACTTCAAACTCTTAAATCAACGGGTTTCGCTTCCATCCCCAAGGCGCGTATATAAATGCTTGCACGAATTTGATCATGTACGGCAATAATTTTTAAACCAATCTAAATCAATGGCCATCCGAAGAAAGGTGGCGCCTAGTATTTAATTCTTGGAAGTATTTAAATTGTTAAAATTTTCCAATTCTCTAATTTTAGCATCGTTTACCTCATTTAAGCATTTCGTACCTACTTAAATGATTAAAATACGTTTGAAACTTTGAATACTTAAATCAACGGGTTTCGCTTCCACCCCCAGGGCGCGTATTTAGATATTCTAAATGGCTTCGATATGCAACTTGAAATAATTAAATCCACGGGTTCCGCTCCCATCTCCAGTTCGCGTATTTGATTAAGCTAAATCAAAAACATGTAAAAGTTAATTGCACTGATTTGATTAAGTTGAATCAAAAACATGTAAAATCCCAAAACTATTTAAGTACTTGAAATAAGTAAATTCACTTTTACAGTAACGCTACAATAGTATAGGGCATATGTGCCTGATGTCTTCTCCAATCATATATATATATATATATATATATATATATCAGAATACATGTACAATTATATGTATATAGGATGTATAACCGTGTGTATATATGCATGCGTGTATATATATATATATATATATACATACGCACACACACATGTGTATATATATATATATTATAAACAGCTATACGCTTACAGGGTGTCCAGAATCGCCCGCCCATGCACAGCTATGTTCATCTAGATATACATATATGCACACATACATATATACACATACATATACATAGACATAGACATATACATAGACATAGACAAATATATATGCATATGCATATACATATACATATACGTATGCACATACGTAGATGCATCTACATACACACACCTACACATACATATACATATGCATGTACAAACCCTAATGAGCAACAGGCTCGGCGAGGACCATCGACGGTCATCTAGGGTCACCGTGCGAACAAGCAGCGCACGGAACCGACCAGAAGAGCACAGGAAGTGAACGTCCGAGCGATGGCGAGCTCGGCTGCCGCAGCTGTCGGCCAGAGCGCCCTTCGCGGGACGCGCCCGCCTCTCTCGCCCGGGCGGCCCGGCTCCTCCGCGCACCGTCGCGGCTGCTTCACTCGGCGTCTCCCCCTCGTTCGTCAGATCAGCACGGTCGACATGGCAGGGCTCGACCTGAACGGTGTGTTGTGGCGCTCTCGTCGACCGTTCTCGTGTCGATTTCGCTTTGACGCGAAGGCGGGGCGAAGACAAGGGACAACGAACACAAAGCGACTAACGGAAAACGCTGTTTAGGTTGAGCCCTGCGACATGGGTACACTCGGACCGAGGTCGGTTCGAGGAGGGTGCCCTAGTTCAAGGGAGGAAGAACCACCTGGACCTGAGAATGAGTGTTTACTCACGGCCTCGGGCGTTTACCAAGCAGCCCTGCCCTGGACGATTCCTTCTGTGGGTGCGTTTACTATACGGCTTCGCGTGTGGGGGTGATTATTATGGGGGTGGGTTGTCTGCCCTCTACTCGTGTTCGTCGTGCATCCTGGGGAGGGTGCCCTCGGATGTTATGTGTGTGTGTGCTGGCCGACGGAGGGTCCCATGTTCTTGGGGGATGTTCTTCTGGCGGAGGTCCGACTGCACGTAACGTATAGGCACGCTGACCGACAGCACCTCCTGCTCCATTTGAGCAGGACTCGCTCTCAGTGTCGCCGCGGACGTTGCCCATTTGCCTGGCTGCGGCCGCAGTCGATTTGGGGCAACATGTGTTGTTCGGCGTCGTACCAATGTATTCCGTACCCATGTGGGGCGTCCAAACTAGTCGTCCTTTTCTTTCCCCTTGTTCGTCATCGTCAGAAGCATCGCAGCCCGACCTGGACAGGGGAAGGTAGTTCTCCCGCGTAACACCCCTCTTTGTGGGCGTGGCTGCTGCGGAGGCCAAAGGAGACGGCACCCATCCCCACAACGAGGGGGGGCGGGGAGGGGGCAGGTCAGCTGGTGGGGCCAAGGTTTTGACTGGGGGGTGATGGCTTTACCTGTACAGGGGTTTTCAGCCCTTACCTCTAGGTGCACGCGCGACCATTGAGGGGGGTGTCACGTTTTCAAGTTATTTCTTACAGTCTCTGTGATAAACACGTATGTGCATGTGTATGTTTATATACACTGTTTCATAGTCATGCTTGACAGCGTGTACCCCACGGAACGAGTATTTGCACCCTGGATGCATCAGATTAGTGGTGCAGTTGTCGTGGTGTAAGATTTGAGTTGCAAGCTATGCAGTGCAATATGTGTGGTGCGAGCTTTGCAGTGCAATCTATGTGGTGCAAGCTGCGTGGTGCAAGCTATGTGGTACAAGCTGCGTGGTACACGCTGCGGTGCCATCAGCTTGGATCGCACCATATGATGCAATCGATGTGGTGCATCCTATCTGGTGCAAGCCACGTGGTGCAATCTACAGCGGACACCACGTGAACTGCCACGAGCGCCCACCCGATGAAACCTCCGCCGGCCCAGCCAGCGCACGCGTCGCCCACCAGGCGAAGACTCGGCAGACCTTGCCAGCGCACAGGGCGCCCACGAGGCGCCCGGGGCAGCCCCTGAGATCCGACGTTGCGAGACAACTGCAACACCGTGACAAATTACGACCCGCAGCCCTGGACCCCCTCTTTCTGAGGCGCTTCTCGAGCCTGGCCGATGTGTGAGGGTCCCGTGGAGCCCGAAACCGGGTGAAGATGCGCGGTGCGAATAGAAGGGGCCCTGAAGGGGCCCTTGTGGGGCCCCTTTTGGGCACCCACTTGCTCCAAAGGGGCCCCAAAGGGCCCGTTGAAGGCCCTTTCCTTCCCCCCCCCATGTGGGCCACCCCCCATTAGCACCCGCCCTGGCAACGCCAGGGCCTCGGGGATCGGCACCGCCCCTCGGCTCCTCAGCCCTCGCATGGCGCGCCGCTCGCGCCCTCGCGGCCGCCTCGCCCTGTGGGCGCTGGGCGCCTGCTGCGCCGCGCCGCCCACGGCGGCGCCGAGGCCGCGGCCGCAGGCCTGCTGGGTGCCGAGCGGCGCTGCGCCGGCGCCGCGGCGGTCTCCTCGCCTCGCCTCGCCCTTGGGTTCCGCCGGGGGGCCTTCTTCCTCCTTCTCGTCCACCTCCTCGTCCGCCTCCTCCTCCTCCGCCTCCTCCTCCTCCTCCTCCTCCTCCTCCTCGGCTACGCTCCTCCTCAACAAAAAAAAACGGCTACGCTCCTCCTCCTCCTCCTCCTCCTCCTCCTCCTCCTCCTCCTCCTCCTCCTAGGTCACTGTCGCCTCGGGCGGCATTGCACCGAGGTCGAGGTCCCGATCGCCTTCCTGGCATCGGCGACAGCGACGGCTTCGCGCCACTGCTCGACGCCGCCTTAGACTAGACGCAGACGTTGGCAGGCTGGCACGACATCACGGCTCTAGCCCGTCGATGGCCAAGCCGGTAGCCAAGTCTCAGGCAGACAGTGATGATTCCCAAGGTAAATGGGCGTGTGTTGCTACTCGTTAGTGTGGCTTTGCACGCAATATCAGTACGAATCAGCGGTGCGACATGTGTGATAGGGATCGACAAGGAAGCCCAACCCTCACAGGAGCTGTTCCTCCAGGCCAGCAGTCTGCCAGGCAGCGCTCGTCCTCTGGCTCGCGCAGATCGACAGCCTCTGCTCCTGATCGTCCCTCCTCCTTTGGCGAGTCTGACGACGTGGCCAAGGCTCGCAAGACGCTGGCCACCCTGCGCCGTCTCCAGTTGCCCGAGGAGCCCGAGGTACTTGCTAGCGCGAAGCGGGCACTCGCAGCAGCGGAGGAGCGTGAGCGCGCTGGCCGCACTCCTGACGATATGCGTCGCAGGGCTCTGGACAGGCATGCCACCAAACAGAAGGAGGCAGACCTGCTCAATGCCGCGGTCAAGGAGTTCGAGGAGAACCTCCAGGCCAACCGCACCGAGGCGGACACCGTGGGCGCGGGCCTGCAGGCCGCCCAGTTCGAAGTCGCCACCTCCAGGGCCGCCGTATTGGCAGTCAGCGCATCGGGCCAGGCCAGTGAAATGGATGAGGCTATGGGGCGCTTGCAGGGTGTTGTGGTTGCTGCACCTGCGGCAATCACGGCGGGGGGGTGCGGGGACCATGCTGCGCTCCCTCACCACACATTTCATGGAGCTCCAGGAGGCATTCTAGCAGCACCGTCAAACTCAAGCAGCGCCGATCAGGCCGCCTGCGCCGACAACGCCTACCATGGGCTTGGCTGCTGGCTCTAGCGGCTACGCTCACCCTTGGGACGTACATATTGGACAGGATCTGGACCGCATCGTGCCTGCCATATCGCCGCGATATCAGGGAACTGATACCGCCACACCCATGCCCAAGGCGGGCAGTAGCTGCTACTGTAGCATGACTTTCAGGCAGCTTGACTACAGCAGTTTTGGGGCTTGCTCCTCAGCTGGCAATCAGGCGGCCCTCGCACGATATCCTGCTGAACCCGACGCGGTTTTGCATCGTAGCCTGGCTGATGGCGGCTCAGATGGCGAACGATTCGTGGTTCAGGGTGATGCAGCGATCACATATCCTTTGATCAGTGCGTCTGCTGTCTCTCGTCCTGGAGTTGGCGACAAACATGTACATCAAGATTGGGGCCCTTCAGCCGTGGCTGGCGGGTTCCTCGACCCCACGTATATTTCCTCTCGGGTCCCTCCGCATGTCGTTGCAGGGTTGACCCCGCGCTCGAGACCACCGACGCGTGGGCCCGCTCTTCAGAGCGCGCGAGGTGGCCAGTCCCCCTCGAGTGCGTTGACAAGGCCAGGGGCTCCCGACGGGGAGGTGGTCGACGCCCCCTTGCCCGGCGGTGATGCTGCCACGGGGCGCGGAGGTTCGCGCGCGCAGGCCTCGGCCCGAGCCCCTTCACATGCTGCTGCCGGGTCGCCTCCGCACTTGGGACAACCGACGGGTGGGCCCGCCCTTCGGAGCGCGCGAGGTGTCCATTCCCCCCCAAGTGTGGCGATCCGGCCAAAAAGGTCCCCGACGGGGGGGTGGTCGATGCCCCTTGGCCAGGTGACGATGCAGTGATAGGGTGCGATCGGACAGTGGCGCACGTACCTGGACAGCTACACGGCCGCGCTCCCCCTCGCCCCTGTCCTGGAGATGGCAGCGTCATCTTGCCTTAGGCTGTCCGCATGTTGGCGTCGGGTCGCCCCCGCACAGGATATCGCCGATGGACGAGCCCGCCCCCCGCGGCGCGGGGGGCGCCTTTCCCCCGGGCGCGGTGGCCAGGCCAGGGCAGGGGCCCCCGTCGGGGAGGTCGTCGACGCCCCTTATCTTGGCGGCGACGCAGCGCCGGGGCGCGGCAAGCCCAACGCGCGACCATGGGGGAGAGCTCCTGAAGGCGGCAGGAGGCGTGACTTTCTCATCGCCGCCATCAGAGGCAGTGGCTAGCCACTGATGAAAGACTGCCCCGACCAAGACGCTCGCTTCCACATCGCGCGCGCCCAGGTGCTCGAGCTCGAGGGCGACGAGCTTGATCGGGCCAGTGAGCGGGCCTCCAATCACGGATGGAAGCCCTTTTCTGGCCGAGCCCCTCACCTCGTTCGCTGACCCAAACATCTTAGAGCCAGGTGACGCTGCAGCTGTCCCGGTGCATGGGGGGGGGGGGGGGGGGGCGCCAAGGCTTTATTGCCAGTTCAGGCTACCTCGAGCAGGGTTTGAAGCACGGCGCCGCCAGCGCCAAGCGCTCGCAGACGCCAAGCGCCCACGACGAGCCCCCATTCGTCGTCGGAGGAGACTTGGATGTTTCACCAGATGTCCCGAGTCCCCCCGGTGGCCAGAGCGCCTTGACGCCCGCGCGGCTGCTGGGTTTAACGGCGCCCGCCGCGACCCCGCGTCGGCGAGGCATCCCAATCTGGACTATTGGGTTGCCAGTGACGCGCTGGCGCCAGCAATGGGAATGCCTGAGAGGGCCCCCGAGCTCCCGCCCAGGAACCACAGCGCAGTCTCGACTTCGTTGGGGCCCAGGGCCAGAGCTCAGCAGGTCGTCGTTTTGACTGGCCCCCAGCTGTTCCCCCTCAGGCCCACTGCCATTCAACGGGATGACGTCCTGGATGATGATGACGCGCCTCAGTTTAAATGCGCTCGAGGAGGACCGGGGCTCGCCTGGGCAGACGTCATGCGGGCCGACTCTCAGCGCGAGCCAGGACGCCCAGCTGTGCACCGGGCGCGCCTGGGCGCTCTATGTACGCATGCATGTATGTATATGTATATACATACATACGTATATATATATATATATATATGTGTATATAAATATATATATATATCGAGATTCGGAGGCTGAGCTGCTTCCCCCTGTTGGGTACCGAGCCGGGTCTCCCTCAGAAGTTCCGGGTGCGTGAAGCGGGCCCGCGATGTCGCAAAACTACGGCAGGGGGGGGGGCCTTGGCGCGATGCCAGCCTGCTGCCACCAAGCACGCTCGTTCGTTTCGCTCGTTGCAGATGAGGGCATACAATGCTCAGATTGCCGCGGCGAGAGGGTCTCAGTGCACCACGCAGGCAGGGAGGCACGCGTGCTCATACGTTGCGAAAGAGTGCAAGGCGGGTAAGATAAGGTCACGTATGCCACAGAGCGCGCGCATTCTCCTCACCTACCTCATTGACCAGATCTACAGTCACCCGACACCAGGTCATCCGAGCACGCTGCGCTGTCTGGGATGTTACATCGGCAGGTTGGCCGAGTCAGAGGAGTGCCGCCTGGCATCAGCACGTGCTCGCTCGTTCTCGACGCAGACTCGAGGGCGCCCGCGCGCGCGGCCAGGCCCTGTCCACATGTGGTCTAAGCCGAGGGCTTGGACCCTATCTCAGGTGCACTCCGCCCTAGGGCCTTCCAGTGTCTCCCCGGACATCTGCAAGGCTCAGAGAGACTCCTGGGCCGAGGTTGGGAACGGTTTTCGGGCGAACATGGCATTAATCATGAAATCGCCCACGGTGCCGGCGACGATGAGATTTTTCACGGCACGCAGCGTTTTGGCCTACGTGGCCCTCGGCTTCCTCCACTTGGCAATTGCAGAGCCGCGACGTGCAGCTTTCCAATTTCCGAGGCGTACCTCGACATTGGTCTCCGGCGTCTAATGGGGCCTTGGCATGTCTGGGACATTTCTTGCATATCTGCGAAACGGTTGGTTTGTGGCCGCGGGTGCTTGCCAAAGTTCACGCGGCCCTCCTGGGAAAGCCGACTGGGGGCTATCGCCCCATCGCCGTGCTCCCGCCCATATATTTGGATCGCGGGCAAAAGCGAGGCTCGATCGGGTGGGGTCTTGTGCACCCACGCTTAACGGAAATTGCTTGGCCCCAGGCTCTGGTCGGGCCAATGCCGACGCAGCAGCTCGAGCATTCTCGAGCATTCGTCCAGGCGGAGGCTGGAGGCTGCGACCAGCCGGAAGCACAGTGCACGCCACTGTTGACAGCGCCAAATGCTTTGACAAAGTACGGTGGGGCACCCTGCTGAGAGCGGAAGCAGTACACAACTTCCCTCGCCGATTCCTCTTGCTCGCCGCTCGCATGCACATGGGAGAAATGAGGTTGGCGTGGGATAGTTGCCACTCGTCGCCAGACCTTGCGAGCGGGGGGGTCTTGCCAGGCTGCGCAATCGCTACGTTCGCTCGGTGGTGCGTGATGCTCGCCGCCTCTGACCCCCTCGTAGAGCTCGCCCCCTCTATTCCACGGTCGCTCGACCCTTATGCTGATGACATCGCGGTGTCGATCAGGGGCCGCGTGGCCAATGTGTGCGCGTGGTCTGTTAAGGTCCTTCGTCTGTTAGCACACGTGCCAGATGCTTTGGGGCCCCACCTGCGAGCCACAAAATGAAGGTCACCAGTGGCGTCCCCAAGATTGGGCATCGATCAGTTATCATCTTCGGTCTCTTGGGTACGTTTACGTTTCGGCACTGGAAGTGCTGGGGATCGAGCTGGCCTCGGGCAGGGCCATGGCGCTTTCTCGCCCCCGCCGCCGCGCTCGCGGCGCCGACCTCGTTGTAGAGCCTCGAAGAGAGCTGGCGCACTCCGCGTTAAATTTACCAAGTAGGCGGCC